TTTAAGATAAAACAGTTAGGAGAAATCAAACAATATCTTGGTTTAAAAAATAGATAAAACTAGGGGAGGCTACAAAATCTCACAGGCAGATAAAATTAACCAATTACTAAAAAGTTTTAAAATGGAACTTTGTAAACCGGCTAAAACACCGATGAGCCAAGAGTGTAGCCACAGTGATGTTCAAAGTCCTGTTTTTGATAAGAACATTTATCAGTCCTTGATTGGTAGTTTATCTTATCACAGTAATTGGTCAAGGCCAGATATAGCATACAGTGTTAACCAATTAGCGAGGTTTAATACTGAGTCAACTGAAAGGCACTGGCAAGCTGCTAAACGTGTGTTAAGATATCTGAAACAAACAATGCATTATGCATTGTATTTGGAGCCTAAGGATGAGCTAAGTCTAACTGCATATGCTGATGCAAGTTTTGCTACAGACGTAAATACATGTACCGTGTTTCTCATATAATAAGGCCGGGTCTTATTTTTTTTTGAGCCCCGAAAAAATGGCTAGGCCGTGTTTTCGGGGGTGACTTAATTCCCCCCCCTTGCATCTTCGGGTGGGTGGGCGGCGATGGCTTGGATGTTGACCTCGGCGTTGGTGGGGCACTTCGTATCGGGGTCAACGCAGGCAGCACCATATCCAGGTGTGCAACAAAAGTACTTCCTAATGGCAAGCCCCCCCCCACGATTCCCCCCCCATTTCGCATGTTTTAATATAGGCCTTAATTTGGGGGGAGGGACTTAATTTCATTTCATGCCTATAAAACATGCTGGGACTTCCTATTGGGGGAGGCCGTATTGTTGGAGAAACAGGGTAAATCTACATCAGGTACTGTAGTATTATTGGGAAAGGTGTTGATTGGATAGAGGTCTATTTGACAGAAACATTTAAGTTTGTCAACAATGGATGCTGAATTCTCATGTTTGTCTTTATTATGTACAGATTTAGTTTATTATAAGCAACTATTAATTGATATGGGAATTTATGTAACAGATTATATTGTTTTTATGAAGACAAGCAACCAGCAATACAGATGGCTTCCAATCTTGCTATTAAGACAAGATCAAAACACACAGATTTAAGATATTTAAATGTGAGACAATGTGTGCAAAGTAAGATGATTAAGCTGGAATACTGTATGTCAGAAAATAACATCACAGATCATTTTACAAAGACCCAAAGCTCTGTAAAGCATAAGGCTTGCTGTGAGGATTATGGACTTAGAATGTAAGGTTGTATATATTGTCCTATCCAAAGGGGAGCATGTTAGGAATGTAAGTCACCTAACAGTTGGGTTGGAAAATATATAAACCAGGATAGACATTTTAATACTGTCACTTTAAGGGAATGCTAAAATGGTAATTAGGCGTGGTTTCTCAAATTGCCATAAGATGGAGCCAGAAACCTGGGTTGTTTTGTTCTGTTCTGGAGAGTGTTGCCATTCCTGCATTTCCCTATTGACTGTTGCTGATCATCGTTAGTCTTGGATTTGATGTAAGTCTGTTACTGAACTGTTTATGATACTGGACTTTGTTATTGGATTATCCCTGGACTGAAAAACTGACTGCTTTAACCATGAATGACTTGGATTGTTTGTTGAACTCTTCTTAACAGTTTTACTGGAAGTAAAAACCTACATTTTTACTATACAGTGTATCTGTGTGCTGGTTGTGTGTTATTCTTAATCACTCTCACTACGTCTCCCTGTGTGCGCTCATTCTCCTAATGGGGAATTACCTCAACAGTTTCTTATCCTGCTGTTGTATCTGATGTTTTGGAAAATAAGTTGAACCCCTCTTCTTTGTGACAGCTCCTCAAATAATGGAATATTGCTATTTCACCCCTAGTTCTTCTTTTCTCTAGACTAGCCAAACCCAAATCCTGCAACTGTTCTTCACATTTTGGTCTCCAGGTCTGTAATCATCTTAATTGGTCTTCTCTGCATTTTTTTCCCCAAAGTCTCAACATCTTTTTTGTAATGTGGTGACCAAAACTGGATGCAGCATTCTAGGTGTGGCCTTACTAAGACATTATAAAATAGTGCAAATACTTCACATGATTTTGATTCTATGCCTCTGCTTATACAACCAAGGGTTATATTAGTTTTTGTGGGTTTTTTGACTGCTGCTGCACACTACTGGCTTCCCACTATTTTTCTACCAGCATCTGCCTTCAAACTTCCCCTTTGTTTTTCCATATTTAGTAAACATTCTGTGAAAGTACAGAAATTCACCCATGGTGTTTTTAAAAATCTCTGCTATCCATCATGGATTTGGTCAATTAAGGTTTTCACTTAATGTGTTTTACTAAGAGAGAAAGTCTATATTAGGGTTATCCACCTTGGGTGTACCTGTGCCACATGCCACATGCCACATTTCCTGCTCATGGGAAGGACAGTAATGGCCAGTTTATTTATTTATCTGATTTGTCAATTGCTTGCAAGATAATAGGTATAAGTATAAACATGAGTAAGAATATACAGGAAATAGGTTCGAATAACTGGGGACAATAGGACAGGGACAGTAGGCACTAAGGTGCACTTATGCACGCCTCTTACAGAGCTCTTAGGAATGGGGTGAGGTCAACAGTAGTTTGAGGTTAAAGGAGTGGAGGTTAGAGGATGAAACAACAGAGTCAGGTAGTGCATTCCAGACATTGACCACTCTGTTGCTGAAGTCGTACTTTTTGCAATCGAGTTTGAAGAGGTTTACATTGAGTTTGTATCTGTTGTATGCTCTTGTATTTTTGTGGCTGAAGCTTAAGTAGTCATTGACTTGTAGGACATTGTAGCAGATAATTTTGTGTGCTACCCTTAAGTCTAACCATAGGCGGCGTAGTTCAAGGTTGTCCAAGCCCAAAATCTGAAGCCTGGTGATATAGGATATTCTGTTATGAGCAAAGTGTAGTACTCTTCTCATGAAATACTTCTGGACTCACTCCAGAAGTATTTCAGACATTAATATTGATACTGCATATCAGTATTAATGTCTGATATGCAGTGCAGATTCCAGACTGATGAGATGTATTCGAGTATTGGTCTGGCAAAAGTTTTGTATGCTCTACTTGGCAATTCGATATTTATGGAGGAGAAGCTTCATAAGATTAGATTTACAACTCTTAATACCTTTTGGTAATGCTGTTACAGTGAGCTCTGGCGTTTAAATCATTTGATATGAGAACTCCAAGGTCCTTGACAGAGTGAGGATTATCAACGAGGTCATATCTGCCTAGTTTGTATTTGGTGTACTGATTTTTTTTACCAATGTGTAGGACCGAGTTTAGGCACACTTTGGTTAGGATACCACATGAGGAGCCAAATTACTGCAAACCTGCTATCCATGCTACATGTAGAGATTATCTTGACAGGCCATATATTGTTGGGCTATCATATGCCCCAAGAGGTATATGTGTAGTGACATATGCTCAGAACACATAAAACATGTTGGGTTATTTTAATGTGAGCGAAAGAATGCATACCCAAATAGAAAAAGAACAATCATATCTCTGTTCGAAACTGGAGTGTAGTTCCTGTCATTTGCATCTTGTAATTCTCATCAAAACGCTCATTTTGTGCCACTGTGAATTGGTTCTTCCAGTCACCAGCAACTCCTAGATTGAAGGGGAAATAATAGCCAACATTAGTTTCCTTGATGTGCTCTGAGCATGGTGGGTGCTTGCAGTCATTTAATTAATTACCCAAAGAGGTAACATTTTAAATGTCGTTATTTTGCAAGAGAAGACAAAGATATGTAGCTCAGGGTTGAACTATGGAGTCCTTGGTGTTCTCTGAGCTTGGTTGCTTACAGACATTTTATTATTCAATTAGATATATATTTTCTATTGCAACATGACTATTTCAAAACTGGGTAAGGTAAAGTTGAATCCCAGTAGGAGATCCCTACATAGCAAAGCATTTGTTGGACTATCTCAAAAAGGCTCTCCCAAAATTAAATAGCTCAAATTTCACTGAAAGTATTGCCCAAATCTCTTAAAATGTTGGTAATTTCTCATGAGCTTTGGGATGTTTTGCAGATTTGCATGAGATTTTTGGTGAAACCTTTTTGAGATAGTTGCAGATCTCCATATTTAAAGTACGTACACCTGGGATTTTTTTTTTTTCCTGATTACATGATGACACCTTTTACCAGGAAAAGTTATAGTTTGCGAAATACAGATGTATTTAATCATTAATACGCTAAAACAATATAATATATGTAATATATGACTGCTGGAACAGTAATACACATTTTTCTTCTCTCTCTCATCTATTCTTTCTGTCTCCTTTCAGTCAAGGCCACTCTCTTGGACACAGCTGGAGTTGGGGTGAGGCCTGTTTCTCCAATCCAGACTTTTCCTTTTTGCCTCTAACCTAAATGGTAGACTCTAAAATTCTAAGTCAGAGATCCCCAACTGGTGAATGATCCCCAACTGGTGAATGTAGAGTACAAGTAGTTCACAATGCATAACAACATTGGGCTCAACGATCATTAAATGAACTGTTGAAATTGAGGACTACCAATGTGCTCCCTTCTTTCCAACGATGTGGTGGGGACTATTGTAGGAGTAACATAAGCTCTATTTATTGAGAAGCTTCCGGACAGAAGGCTCCTAAAAATACTTCTCAAGAAACATGATATGATTGTGTGTTTTTTCCAGAGTTTATTTTCTCTAGAGAATAAAATTAAACTAGACAGACCCAATTCCACCAACTGTTCTGTCTATGTTTTAACTTCCAGCCCCCTAATATCCTTGTTGCTCTTCCCTGCAATCTTCCCTGAGTCTCATCATCAAGGGTCCAGTCATAACCTTCTCTGATATTAGTCTTCCCCAAGCCATTGTATTGTATTTGCTTGGAGACATTTCATTACCTGATGATCACCATCACCATACTACAACCAAGCTCAGAGAGCACCAAGTACTCCACACTTCAACTCTGAGCTGCATGACCCCTTCTATTCAAAATAATTATGCTAGTTTCTACCACTTGTTCCAGCTTGTTAAAAATCATGGTCATTCTTTCTGGAAAGTCTTGGAGTTGAAGCCCATACATTTACAAACTGCTCAGCTTGGTTGTACATGTACCATCACAGCCTATTTGCTTACAACAATAATATTACATTGGCATGGTACAATTATTTTGACCTGTATCTCATTTTTTCTCAAATAGATCAAGGTCATATTAGAAGCAGAAAGCTTGACTTCAAATTCCATAATCTCTGACCAGCAGAGATAGTACATGTAGTCCTCGACTTATGACCACAACGGAGTCAAAAAATTATGTTGCTAATTGAGACATTGTTAAGTGAGCCATGCCCCATTTTATGACCTTTCTTTCCAGAAAGGTGAATCACTGCAGGTGTTAAGTTAGTTACATGATTGTTCAGTGAATCTGGCTTCCCCATTGAATTTGCTTGCAAGAAGGTCGCCAAAGGTGATGACTACATGACCCAGGGACACAGCAACCATCATAAATGTACCATAAGTTAGTTACCAATCTTCTGAATTTTGGTCACATGACCATGGGGATGCTGCAATGGTCATAAGTGTGAAAAATGGTCATAAGTGACATTTTTCAGTGTTGCTGTAACTTTGAACAGTCACTAAATGACTATTGTAAAGACTAGCTGTAATCCTGGTGGCTGGGAAATCTTAACACATTTGGACCATGTCAATTTCGATAAGGTAACACTATTATTTTAGCCTTTTATGTGTGTTATAAATATAACTCCATCCAGCCCCAGTTTGGTTATTTGATAGGCTCACCTTTCCGCATAAAAGGAGAAACTGTGTGATCCATAACTGAAGTGGGAAGGCTTTTGTAATTAGCCATCTGGTTCTGACTCATCACTTTGAAGGAAGTATGGTGTGAAATCTTCTTGACTAAGTTTTCATCAACTGGCCTCTCTAGGAATTCCATTATCTTTCGAATCTCCCGTTCTGGATCCTGTGTACAAACAACAATCAAGTAGTGAAAGTCAGGAATTTTGGATTAGGAAGAGTTTTGAGGTACGGGTATATCGTGTTATATTAAATAAATTAAATTAAAATACACTATCCTTTGTGATTTGACAGCTATTACCTATCTGGTGTACAGTTATAATCCAGTCAAGAATGTTTCTTATTATAATGTTTTGCAGTTAGACACATGTACAAGCAATTTTTAGCCATGAGTTTCCATTATGAGTCAGTATTATTTAATGCCAAGTATGGCTAGCCAAAGTTTACCCTGGTAGCAAAACAGCTATCCTGAGGAAATGATTAGCATGGAGGAAGTGAGAAGAGAGATGGGAGTAACTGTCTTGTATTCAACTTTGGGGTGGCTCTGATTTAGATAAAATAGGCCTATTGAAATTAGTGAAATAAGACATGACTCTTAGTTTCTATGGGTTTACTCTCAGGCATCTCTACATATAGGTCAACTTCCTTCTGTAATTAGGAAAATAATGTAAGAAATGTTTTGCTGGACAAATACAAAGTAAAATAAATATGTGGAAATAAAAGAAAACAAGTTTGAATGGATGGCAACAATTTTGCATTCTTCATCTCCTATTTGTAGGTTTTCAGGAGCATCTAATTAAAATCAGAATGCTGGAGTAAGGGATCTTTTTAAGGAACTTGAAATTTTTGGCCTTGGAGATACTATAGAAGTCCCATCCCAATTCTCCCTATTGGCAATTCCTAAGACTTGTAGAAGAGGATATCTATGTTCCATACCTAAATTTTAATGTGGGGGAAAGAAGTGAAAATTAGAGTAGTAGCGAATAAGAAGGTTAATAAAAGGAGCAGAAAGAATCTTGCCTCTTTCAGGTCTTCATAAAAGAGGTACAGAATCCTATATTTCTTCATGAGGTCCCACCAACCTTTGACATGATCATACCAGGATCCAAAAGACACTGAGGAGAGAAATAGAATGCTTGTGAATGATTGGGAATTTTAGTGCAACAACATGGAGAAAGCTACAGTTTCCTTACTACTTATTTTGGTTCGGACATCAGGAGTATGAAACAGGAGTAAAAACTCTAGTAGAAGTTGACAGTCAAACTAAAGAACCACACATTTACATGGACATATCTGCCCACTCAAATGGAAAGGATAATAATCAAAGTCCAGTGTCAAAAAACAGTTCAGTAAGACTTACATTAAAACCAGAAAATATCAGTCAATTAGGAAAAATGGAGGAACGGCAACACTTTCCAACAGAAGGAAACAGAGATACATTCACACTCTCTTCTGAGATTCAGACTAAAACAATCCAGGTTTCTGGCTCCATCTTATGGCCATTTGAAAAACCACACCCAATTGCAGTTTTTGCAATCTCTTAAAAACATAGTACAAAAATGTTTATCCTGGTTTATATATTTCTAACCCAAATACCTGTTAAGTGACTTATATTCCTAACATTCTCCCTTTTTGGGTAAGATAATATATACAACCTTACATTCTAAGTCCATAATCTTCACAGCTAGCTTTATGCTTTATGGAGCCTTGGGCCTTTGTAAAATGATCTGCTATATTGTTTTCTGACATACAGTATTCTAGCTTAATCATCTTACTTTGCACACATTGTCTCACATTTAAATATCTTATATCTGTGTGTTTCTTGTTTTAACAGCAATATTTGAAGCCATCTGTATTGCTGATTGGTTGTCTTCGTAAACAACAATAGGATCTTTGACATCAATTCCCATATCAATTAGTAATTGCTTATACAAAACTAAATCTGTACATAGTAAAGACAAACATGAGAATTCAGCCTCCATTGTTAACAAACTTAGATGTTTTTGTCTAATAGATCTGTTAGGGTTTTGGGGATTAACCCCTAGAAGAGTATTGCAGCAGTAGTCAAACCAGGCAACCAAAGGAGAGCGGAAGGGCCCCAGAGTATACACACACTGAATACAAACACTGTTTGTAGTTTAAATAGTTTTTAATCCAGTTAGAGTTTAAGCATTGTCATTCAGTCCATTAAGTCATTCACAGTATTTCCATCCAGTAAGACTCACTAGTATAGTCCAAGTTTAAGAGTCCTTGCAATATCTTTATCAGCCGATAAAGATATCTTCTCCTCCTCCGGTTTCACTCTCCAGAGAAACAAACGCTGGATATTCAGTAGAATTACGCAGTAAATCAGCAAACAGTAGCAAACAATAACAGTTCAGTCACAGGCACTCACAGTCAGTATCACACAGTAAGTCGCAGCAGCACACAGTTACAGACAGTTAACTTTCCAGCTTCTAATGCTTCCTTATATTGTAACTTCTAACCGCACCCTTAATCGGCTAATTGCCTGCTGCATTGTGCTTAAAGTGATAAGCACTTAAACCATGATATCTAAGTTTTATATATTTATTCACCCAAACCATATTTGGTATCAATGTTATACCTAACAAGATCTCCATCCAATCAATGCTTTTCCCAATAATACAGCAGTACCCGATGTAGATTTTCATGTATTTATGTCTGTAGCAAAACTTGCATCAGCATATGCAGTCAAATTCAGTTCATCTTTTGGCCCCAAATACAATGCATAGTGCATTGTTTGTTTCAGATATCTTAACACATGTTTCGCAGCTTGCCAGTGCCTTTCAGTTGGCTCAGCATCAAATCTCGCTAATTGATTAACACTGTATGCAATATCTGGCCTTCATCAATTACTGAGATAAGATAAACTACCAACCAAGGACTGATAAATGTTCTTATCAAAAATAGGACTTTGTACATCACTATGGCTAAACTCCTGGCTCATTGGTGTCTTAGCCGGCTTACAAAGTTTCATTTTAAAACTTTTTAGTAATTGGTTAATTTTATCTGCCTGTGAGATCTTGTATCCTCCCCTAGTTCTATCTATCTTTAAACCAAGATATTGTTTGATTTCTCCTAACTGTTTTATCTTAAA